TTTAGCTTTGGCTGACACTGTCCTGATCATCTTGTGTGGTTTTCTCTTAGGGTCTGATGCTGTAAGGAGCTGATCACTGGTACAGCCCAAGGAAAGGTTTGAGCTTTCAGGTTTCATCTTACAAGACTGAACCTAGAGCTTGTATTGTGCTGCCGCAATTAAAATACACAGCTGGTAATGTCTTAGCTCTAGAAGCTTTCTGGCTGAGCCACACTAAATGATCATACTGTTCCTCTAGCGGCTTCTCTACACGTTTGACTTTGAGTCCTTCACTTTACTTCCTCATCTCCCATTCATATGCAGCCAGTTCTCTTAAACCTGCACAGCTAGAGCCGTATGGCTGTCCTGCTTCACTATCCCTGCCATTTAGTGGGACAAACAGGAGCCTTCCTGAACATCTTCTGTTTGTTCCTATGCAGATGCTGTGATATTTTTTTCCCTCTCTGGGAATTTACTCCCAGGAAGATGGATCTTTAAGAGCAAAAGAACCAAAGAGCCAAAGCAGACATCCCAACATCATAATTTTGTTTCCCACTGCTATCTAGGAGCTCAAGTGAAGCTATTGCTCTGTAGAGCTTCTTTCAACCCCTCTGAAGAACCGAGACTTTGTCTCCTAGCATGTGATCGCTGATGCAGCTATCTGATTGTGCAAAAGAAAGGCAAAACCACCACCTCACACTCTGCTAAGCACCCTGAACGTTTAACCTTGCAAAAGGAGAGAGTCCTCACCTCCATGCTGGCCAGTTCTTTGGCAGGGCTGAGGCTGTAGATAGGGTTGGCTCTTCCAAGCTGGAGTTGGATGAGCAGCAGCAAGAGGAAGCCACAGAAAAATGAGCCTTTAGTGTCCATGGTGCTGGCTTTGTTGGGAATAGGGAAGTTCAAGCTGTTTCTTCTGAGATGTCTCTTCAGGTCTCTCTCTTCCTCGTCCTATCCGCTCTCTTCCGAAGCTTGTCTTTTATACTCTTTGGGTGTGATCTCTGCTTCCTAGGTTATCAGTGGATTTATCTGGGGCACATTCCAGTCCCATTGCAGGCATGCAGCTCTGTCAAGGGAAGATTCCCTTTATTAGCTGTCATTAGGCAGCAGCTGCTGTTGCTGAGGAATGTATGTCACAAGTCAGTGATTTCATGTCACTCCCCCTCCTCTTGATACCAGGCGCTGTGATTACATAGTCCAGTTGGAAATTCTTAGCAATTTTCTTTCAAGAGACCCCTATGGTCAGATTTACAGAGATGGGAAACAACCCTGAAACTGCTCTAAGCTCCACTCAGAAGCTTTCCATAGGGAAATTACCTTTTATAGGGAAAATGAAAGGCTTTACAGATGAGTATTTGGTTGTGAGTAAAGGCTGAAGATAAATCTACTTTTAGGACACCTAAAGGACTGTGCACATTTTCCTTCTATATATGGAATCTGCGCAGCCATTGCATACCACGGAGTATGCTGAAAATCCCAGGTTTGGGCCACTTCTCTTTTCTCATTGCTATTGGGGTGATATCATCGTTGAGACTTTGCATGTTACAACAACAGAGGCACTTCGATCGGCACCTCAATCCAGACGATAACTTCTAGACTGACTCTGCAGGACACCGAATACCTCCAGCCCCCTGCGGGAACTGGCTCCGGCACCACTGAAAACCACTAGTCTTTATTAAACTTTTAAATCCATGGGATTTCTTTAAACTTCGATGGTAAGGCTTGACCTGACAGCAATAAAAATTAAAGAAGAGATGCTCAGATTCAGGAATAATCTTCTTGTGCCATCATACAAGATGCATCATACAACTTGCTCGCCGAGAACTTTAGCTAGATGGCTTTTGGTGTTGCTCAGCAAAGGTATTGGAGTCTGGCCCCAAGAAGAGTGAATGGATTTGTGTGTATGTGTGTTCTGGGAAGGGTTAAACTGAAATGTTTAGTTTAATATATTAAAACCAAAAAGTATTTAGTTGTTTGCTTGAGAACTGGAGTTTCCAAGTTTAGCTAAAAGCTGCTATTGCTTAAATGAGAAATTGCAGAAATGCCGCTTTGCTTCAAGTTCGTCTTCCAGCGTTTCTTTGTGCATATAGTGCAACTAAAATCTCATCTTCTTTACAGAACTGCAGGAGAACTCTAAATCACAAAACATATTGCTTGTCCTTCATTTTCCTAATGTTACTTCTTATTCTAAACTGAAACAGGAATGGCCATATGAGCAAGTTGAATATGTCAGTCTCGCAATAATTTTTTTCTTGTAATAAAATCATATAAAAGTCAAAAAACCTGACTTCTGATATGATTGATCTTGAAAGAATCTCCTGAGTACAGTTTCTAAGTAACAAGAGAACGATAAAATATTTCTCATGTCTTAAATGTACTAACATGCTGTTTGTGCATGGACATGTGCACACCGTTCACATGATCAGCTACCAAAATTATACTAGAAAGGACATTCTCAAGGTTGTGAAGTCAAGCTCAAATGCTACTTTTCCCTAATATAGCTTCAAGTCAGCCCAACTCTGGTGAGTTCTGATGAACTCCTTTATTACAAGAGCAATCCCTATTTTTCCCAGTGCTTTCTTTTGCAGTACATGGAGGCAGTACTTGGATTTTATTATGTAACCTAACACATTCTTATTCTATGCTATTAAGAAAGAAGATCCTGATAGCTTATTTTTAGTTTGTAATTAACACTCCCTAGTGCAGTGTGTGTATAATTCACTAATCAGTTACAAACACACTCTTACAGCTGCTCTTGGGGGTGTTTGTATGTGCCAGGGAGTAACTTTGTTTGGTAAACCGAGAAAGCATTAGAAGATGAACCAGAATTATTCAGTAATACTGAGTATCCAATTTAAGATCATTTAATTTGATTTGATATATTTATTTCTTGTTTTCTTTCCTTTCACACCCCACCCGCTGAATATCCTCTGTGTGAAAACACTCTGCTGCTTCTCATTTTGCCCCAGAGCTCGGCACATCTGTAAAGCAGTCCCTGGAGCACAAACCCAGCAGCAAAGAACCGAGGAACACAGTATCAGTCATAGGTGCGAAGTGTTTAGCTTCGAGTGCCCTGTCCCTGTGAAACAATCTAATATTCTAGGATTGTATTCAGTAACCTGCAGCCAGAGATATTCCTTTTTTCCCCCTGCTTTGCTCCTTTTCCGTCTTCTGTATTACACAGAATGAGATGTAGGGGCTTGACTTAAACCGTGAAAACACTTTCTAAGGCAGGAAGATTTCTGTGTACTGTTTCATGTTCTTTGCATGGAAGTATGTGGATGGCATAAAAGGGCTGACCATTTTTGCATTTTCAAAGCCAAATTCTGCCCTCTGTTACCCATTGCACAGTCCTACCAAAGCAAATGGAGTGTAAAATGTCAGAACTCAAGTCATCATTGTTGGAGCTATTAAGCTCACTTGTTTCTTTGCCTGCAGTATCTTAGTATCATCACCCTGGCAAGATCAATGTGGACTTTAGGGGTTATAGCCTGGCAGTGGATAGTCACGATATAGCATTGTCTGTGCTCAGCTGGCCGTCAGTCTGGTAAAGACCCTCTTGAGAGTCTTACCAGGGCAGCAGGTTGTTAGAAAAAGCTCTCTGTGACTTGTTTTAGGGCTGGAAAATCAGCACGTTTCCCCAGTAGCACCCCAGGGTAGGGGATAAAAAAATGCAGTGGCAGAGGCTCTGTTAGAAAGCAGGCTTGGTTGATCAGACCAGAGAGGGAGACCATCAAGGGTGCTGCTAGCAGCCCCATGTGTTCTCTGTGGGAAGGAGGGTGGCACATGGAGGGAGCTCAGCCCCTGCCCCAGCAGGATGGGGGGATGCCCTTGGTTTTCAGCCCTGTATGGGTGCAGACTGTAAGCCTCGGGGCTGGTGGATTCCTTTGGTGGGTAGATCTGATGCCCCATTCCACTGCACATCCTTCCAGGGGCATCCATTCTCCTACTGCCGTTTTACAGCTGACAAGTGCCGGCGCTGATTGCAAAGAGCCTTTGTAGTCCAGTTCTGAGGAGGAGGCTGGGCTTGGATTCCTTTCATCTCCCGGTGACTAAACCCTTTGCCAAGACTATGCCATACCCCACCCAAGCTCTCTTGCCCTGCCTTGCAATTCAGTTTGATTACGAAGGAAATGAAGAGATGAGCACAGGAAACAAAAGAGAAATGTAATAACGCCTGGTGCAGGGCATGCAGCACCGAGATCACAGGACAGGCCATACTGCAATTAAGATAGTTAAGTGATGCCTCACTTTTTCCATGGGGAAGAAACTTTAACCGCAGACATGGGTTGTTCCTGCCGCTGATCGGGATGCATTACTTCTGCGATGTGCTGCCCCTTCCTTTGCAGGCAGCACAGACCCTTCCTCCCGCAGTTCCTCTGCAGCAGACTGGCCTCGAGCCTTTCTGCCTGCTTGGGGCACTCTGCGCTTCGTTCACAGCCTTGCCTTGGGAGGGCTGTGCGAGAAACCCGGGCTGGGGAGCGAGGGGGCTGCGCTGAAGGCCAGGGCCGTGAGTCGGGGCTGCGGGATGGGACCCGTCGGGAGCGCGGCGCGACTGGCGTCTGTCCCGGGTGCTGAACGAGACCGCCGCAAGTGTGTTTCTAAAGCGCTACAGCCCTTCCGTCCTCAGGGGCACCCACGGCCACGGCGGGACAGGGCCGAGTGTAGGGCATCACCTGGAATTAACCCCGAGCCCGGTGCTCACCTCCTGGCAGGATTCACAGCTACTGGGTGGTGAAGCTGTTGGGAAAGGCATCCCAGCCTATCTCCAGAGCCGGGATAGGGGCCTGGCAGGACCTCTTCAGTGCATCGTTAGGGGCACTGGAGTGATCATTGCCCTGGCAGCATGCAACCACCATCCTTCCTGCTGATGCAGCCCTCGGGAATGGCTTGTCCAGACCGGGTGGGATGCTCTGGCTGGGGTCGTGACTGAGCCTCAGGGCAGAGGGAGAGGAGCGCTCTGGAAGGGATTTATGTGTCTTCTGATCGTGTAACCCCAAAAAACTCACTCAGAAAAGACAAAGCAGGCTTTGTACAAAAGTTTAATGCCCCACACCACACCATGGCAGAGGCTCCGGGGGTAGCCTGACTGTCTGCCTGCTGGACACCCGCATGGAAGCGCCTGGGGGCCGGCCCTGGTTTCAGCTTCTCCCTCTCCTCCAGAAACCTGGGAGAGAAGGGCGGAGAGCTGCGGGGGAGCCGCTCCGAGGCTTTCAGCCAGGGACAGCGGCCTCTCAGCGGCTGCTGCCCCGGCTGCCACCGCTCCGGCGGTCAGGGCCGAGCTCCGACCTCCCCCCGTTCCCTGCGCCGCGGGGACCTACGGGCTTTGTACTGGTTGCATCCCAGCCCCGTCTGCGCGCCGATCCTCTCCATCCTCGTCCCAAAGCAGCCGGAGAAGTGCCTCCGTCTGTAGGAGGAGAGGAGACTCCTCCACTGGCTCTGCCACCCCTCTGCCGGCAGCGGGGTCCCCGGCGGGCCGCCCTCCGGCGCCGGGAGCTCCCACTCGGAGCCGCCGTCCTCAGCCCCGGTCGCCGACTCGTCCTCGGGGCCCGATTCCCCTTTCTCCTCCCGGAGCTGTCCCAGCGCCTCCAGGAGATCCTGGAGAGGGAAGGAGAAGGGAGAGGAGAAGGGGAGGTGGTGGCGGGGCACTGAGAGCCCCGCTCCCGCCCGCTTCGCCCAGCCAGAACGAGTGCGATGATCGCCCCGGCCCAGGTACCTGCAGGGACCGCAGCTCCGCGCCGTGCTCGCCACCAGCCGGCTCCGCGCCGGCCCACGGTAGAGCGAGCAGCAGCAGCGAGGCCCCGCAGCAGAGAGCCGGGAGATGCATCCTATCCTATCCTATCCTATATCCTACCGTATCCTATCCTATGCCAGCTCGGCACAATATTGCTGCTTTGCCCATGGATGCCTCTCCTTATATCCCCACTCTCTGCCCGGAGGGAGCTCAGCTGCCTCCTGCCAGATCCCCGCAAGAGCCGGAGTGCCGCACTCTGCCCCCCGGCTTCGATAAGGGAACTGGTTATAACTGGCCCCACAGGTGACCCTCCAGGAGAGGAGGGTCCCCTGAGTGCAGTGACTCCTCCAGAGGAGAGAGCTGCCCCGAGTCATCTCCTCCCCTCCTGGCAGCACTCATTTTCCCAGTGATTTCCTCCCCCTCCTCTCTCCATCCCGGTTAGGAAGGAGTTGATGCAGTGAAAGACCCTTTCTGCCTGATTGCTCTGCCTCACATCTGCAGGCACCCAGGAGCTGCGGGCTGGCCCAAGCAGGGTGCTGATTCCCCCTCCAAAGGGATGAGGGATAGATCATTTCTCCTCCATGGGGAGAGAAGGAAGGAGGGGAATTGGAAACTTTCCTCTGTCTGCAGCAGCTTCCAACACCTTTTTGTACCTTGTGTACTTATTTCTGTGCTGTGTGGATAGACCATGTCCTGAGATCTGGGTTTTCGATTTTCCTTCCTCACAGGTTCATGTGATGATGGTTCTTCATTTCCTCTGGCATTGTCTGCAAACCCTTCCCTCTATAGCTAAGAGGCACTAACCTTTTAGTGCCTTGAGCAATGGCATAGCCGATCACTTTGCTACAAACATTATTTGCCCTCCAGCCATGCCTTGGCTGCAGCAGTGAATCAGTCACCACCCTCTCCTCATCCCACCACTTTTCCCATATATGATGGTGTGTTCTGTCCCCCCCAAGCCGTGGGTCAGAGTGAGAAATTCCTATGGAGCAAATATTCTTTCCAGAAAGCCCAGGGGCCTTCCTCAAAGAAAGAGAATTTGTACATCTTTGGGTTGATGCTCCCCAGATAAAGTCTTTGAATTACTAATGTAACAGGCAGCCTGTTTGTATACAACTCTCTTATTTCACCTCAGAGCTCTACAGCAGCTTCTTAGTAACTTGCAGTAAAACTCACAGCATCTTTCCTGTGTCAGTGGTGAATTTCAGCTATAAATGAGTACAATTTCCACTGGTCCTGGGGTGCAAATCAAGATGATCCTGTTAGATCCTAACAGGATGAAAGGCAGAACCCATGATACCTGGGGGGTAGAGCAGCTGACAGGGTCCTTTCTATCACCACCTGGGTAATATTAAAGCAATGACACTAAATTTCTGCCTTCTGCCTTTGTTGCTTAGCCAGCACACTTATAAATCTTTTTTGTTTCACTTGATATGCAGTGATTTCTGCTTGGGCCCTTATTTTAGAGCTTGTCCTAAAGCTCAGCAAAGCCAGAGAAAGTCTTTTCTCTGAGTTCAGAGGGTTTTGGACCAACATGCTGCATGAACAAGCAACAACATACAGCGTATTTTCCTATCTCCCCCCATTTTCTTGTCCTTCTGTTCCACATATCTACCTACAGCTGATATAAGTTACCTTAGATTGGAAGCAAACTAACAAGATCAGCTGGTGTGGGGCAATGATCTCTGCATCCAGCAGCCTGAACGGTTGGCAAGTGGTTTTGTCTAAAGCATCCCAACAAAGAAGAATCTGGCAGAGAAATGAGGTGCATGTTTTGAAAGTACAGGACATGACTGAAGGAAGCTCACATCAGGGTTTGTGTTGCTACAAAATAAGAACAGATGCTAAGGTGAGGATGTGCATCATCCTTGATTTTGTGTGTAGTAAAGACAGACAGGAGTGGAAAGGGGTAAAACGGTGTGAATGTACAGATCCTGTGGGGTTACCAAGGGAAATAAATACAGTTTAGTCCTTTAGTAATAAACTAGGCAGAACTGAGTGTTGGATGAGAACCAATCTTGATTGCTGCCTAAAAACCACTTAGAAACAGGTACCCCCAAAGCAGACACATTTGAGAAACCTATCTTCCTGTGTAGTAGCTTTATTGCAGGCTTTTGTCTTCAGCAACCTCTGTAATCCTGGTCTGTAAGTTCATATGCTGCTGCTTAGTGGAGATGGAAATGACACAGCTAAAGAGGAGCTTCCCCCACCTGAGTGGCTAACTTCAAAGGCTAGCTTTGATTATTTAAATGCTAATAGAACTCAAATTACAACACACCTGGCTTCAGTCCTCGGGACCTAATTATAGAGTCTTTTATGTGTCAGAAATTGCTCTTGCTTTCTGAAATGTGGCTTTTTAGAATGCTCACATAAAATGCCAGGTGATGGGAGGCCTATTACCAGCTCAGCCTCTGTGGAACTGGAGCCCTTCTCTGTTTCTTACTCATCTTCTATCGTTCTGTTCACGAGTGCTCACAGCTCAGTCTTCAACCTCCTCTGACCTCTGTTATTTTATCTGCAGATAATTTCAACAACCCAGGGTTTCTGTTTAGGTTGGTGTGGCTGAGTTTGGAAACAGGCTGGGGATGTTCAGGAAACACTCAGCAGCACTTGCCCTTCATTGATTTTCAGTGAGATTTCAACATCAGGAAGCTTTATGCCTCTTAGAATGTGCCTGCTCCTAGAGTTAGACAGCAAGCTATCAGACTCAGGATTATTAGGAAGGAGACTGTAACCTTCCCATTAGCACCAACAGGCACAAGATACTTGCTTTTCATTGTTTGACACCATAATGTCTATGGGCTCTGGGGATTACCTTTTCCACCATACAGGTTGTACCTGAGCCAGCCCTGAAGCTCATGTGCCTGAAGAAGGACTCTATATAAGGGAGCTGGATGCTTCCTGCTGGGTTACCACAAGTAAGCATGTCTGCTGCTTCTTAGTGTAAGTCACTTGTTGTGTTTGGGGGGGAAAAGAGGTGAAAATCTCATCCTGACTGTGTAAAGGTGTGGTAGGTTAGAATAATGAATCAGAAAGCTCTTTGGTCACGTTTGTGTGGGGCAGAGGTCTTTGTGTAATGGAAGCTATGGTAAGGGAGGGTGTCATCTCTGTGGCCTAGCAAGACTTCAGATTTCCAGCAGAATTTGCACATGGATTACTGCAGTTCATGGGGTTCCATCTGGAAAAGCTGCTCACACTAATTAGTTTTAAGCATTAAAGACATGCAAATCCTGTCTGTTGATATGTGAATTATGCTGAAGGCTGATTTATTCTTTCTTTCTCTATTCCCCCCTTTAATTCCTCATCTGACAGGTGAAATGTTTTGTTTTCTTGTTGCTTTGCTAAGGAAGAGCAATATAGTACAAGAGATTTGTTATCTGAGCTATTCCATTGTTCAGGAGCTTATACTCAAGGGTGCCTATGTAAGTGATGAGCCCTCTCCTTGCCAGCAAGTGTAGAGCCTTTTCACTCTTGCTGCTGCCTTGTTATCACAGTTAACTTGAACAGAGTAAGTAGCAAACAGCAGAAGGCCTAAGAAGACCTGTTAACTGGAGAAGCCTTCAGGATATGTAGTTGAATTTCTGTTCAGGATTTGTGTTGATAACCTCCTAACTACTGGTCTGAAGAGGGGAATATTCTGGAGGGTGGAAAAACCATAGGCAGGTAGAATTAATGGTGATGTCTTAATGTGCAAGATGTAAAGAGTAAAAGATGGCAAGAAGAAAGAGCAGCTGTTGGTAGCTTGTGCAAGGGGAGAGTATCTCCATTAAGAAATCAGTCTGTTCTTACTGGTCTTTGAGAGTCAGCTCTTAAGTGTTGAAGCATATGCTTATGAGCTTGTACTGATTTCCCTTCTAGAGCAAGTCTGTGGCATCAGGGTGGAAGTTACATATTGAAAATAGCATGATAGATGAATAAAGCTGTCTTTAGTTTGGCTCTGAATAGCTCTCCAACAGGTCCTGGATTGCTTGTATTCTATGGGAATTGTGGCTGGAAGGATCAGAACCAAATCATAGAGTTTAATTGACTGAGGCAGGCTCAGAAACTAGACCTCTGGCTGCTTTGTGTTACAGGCTTTCCTAATGCAAGCTGAACTGCCAGAGACTTGGAGCACATGCAGCCAGATGGTTGCTGATGAGCTTGCTTTGCATATATGTTTGTACTCTGTTGCAGTTTGCATCCAGGGCTCCAGTTAGGAATAGGCTTATTACCAGCATATTTTCGTCCAGGCGCATCTGTCTTGTGGGCAAGAGAATGGGAGGAGTACAACTGTGTATCCCATCTGTCCATTCCAAGCAGAAGGCTGGAAGTGAGCAGCTGGGCCTTCATTTGTGACCAATAGCACAGACACTGCGTGAGCAGAATCCTTGCTGATTCCCAGGGAGCTGCTTGCAGAGTTCAGCTCTCATCAAATTGGGATAGCACAGTCATGAGAACGGCAAACCAGCCTTCGTACCAAATTCCTTTGGCTCAGGTTGTTTGCCAAGTAGCCGTGCTCGGATTTCTTTGTAGTTAGATTCAGTGAATAATTGGTTTGCTTAAGAAATAGAATGGTCAAGTACATGTTTTTGGTATAATCTTGACTTTTTTGTTTGAAAAATGCTTTGCAATGTCTGGATGTGCCTATGGAACAGTAGGGTGCCCTCAAGCTTTCTTCACAGAATGGTCTAGTGGAAGGTGCCTGCCAATAGCAAGGGGTTGGAACCAGATGATCTTAAGGTCCTTTCCAATCCAAACCACTCTGTGATTCTGCACTAGTAAGAAGCAGTCATTTCCTCTGTCAGTGGCAGATCCAAATGCAGAGTAACAGCTTTCTACTGACGTCAGCTGCATAGCTGCCCCTTTAGTTCAAATTGTAGTGGTCAAGGACTTGGGGCTTTGTGTCCTGGTTTATGATGACTCTGTTGTGAAAATGGCTCTGTCTTCCTGTTATATTGATGTTTAGGCAGTACCTTAACTTCAAAAAGGTTCTTTTGATAAAAAGAAGGATTTGGGGTTTTTGATAAAAAGCATTTGATAAAAAGAAGGATTTGTGAAATGCTTCTGAACTTGAGTGGGTTGTGTCTAACTGCAAACTGGGGCACTGTTTCAGGCTCAGGAATGACACATGAAGGAATCACAGCGAAGGTTGGAAGCAAATTCACCAAATTCGGGAAAACAGTTTATTATCTGTGCCATAATGAAACTTGTTTATTTATACATTTAGTACACACAAATGTTTTCCATAATCAAACTTCAGATAGATGTTCACAAAATATGACTCTGATACAAATAGGCAACACAGCAACGGTGTATTCAATTGGCCAAGTAATTCTGGGGAGAGAGGGGGTGCACTTTGCTCAGTGCATCATGTAGTAGATGGATTGGAGCCAATATGAATAAGGGCTGAATATCTCACTGAAAGGCAACGGGTCCTTTGAAACCTCCAAGTCAGTCCTGTCAAGAAAGCAGAGGAATAAGTAAGATTAAATGGACAGGATTTCATGCATGGAAATTAACTGTTTTCTTACTGTTCTAGGGCCAGGTTCAGCTCCACTGTTCTGCTCAGAGTTTCTTTGATTGACACAAGCATCCCTGGGGAGTTGGTGGAAACCTCTGTGATCTGCCTCCTGTGACAAGGTGACATGCGGACGGCTGACTTGGAGACAGGAGTGAAAGCAGGTAACAGAGATGTGGCATTCATGGGGTTTAAGTATACATCTGATGACAGTGAATTCTGAGGTGGGTAAAATTAGTAACCTGTGTGATAGGAGGCTACTTTAAGGCACCTTTTCCTTAAAGCTGAATTAAATCTGCTCTTCTGAATATTTATGCAAGTTATACACTAACACACAGACCATGCGCCGCTTGCTTTCTCTTACCATAGTAAGCAGTTAGCATCCCAGTCCACTCAGTGACCCAATTCTGTCCAGCTTGACACCAAAACAGCCCCTGGAGAGACCCTTTTTCCTTCTGCCTCGGTATCTGTGGGGTAAACTTAGGAGGCTGCTGAAGTACCTCTGGACAGCACTATCATCCATGGACAAGCTCTCAGGCTGGTCCCTAGTGTTTCGAGTCCACTGGAATTCAGTGTCTTGCTGATCAAAGGGACCTCTTAGGATCATGTCATCTTGCTCTGTCTCTTCTGAGAGCAGGGGATGCTCCAGGTCCTCATCTAACAGCTTGGCTAGACCCTGAAAGAAGGGAAAGGTAGATGATGGACAGGGAGGAGAGGAGAAAAAGGAGGGGTTCTGGGGACACTCTCATTATATTTGTATAAGCCAGGCTCTGTGCTAAGTTTGGAGAAACTTAAGTTGAACATTTAGCAAAAGATGAAAGTACAGAAGTGATTTCTGAAGCTGATGATGGTTATCTTTAGTTTCTTCTGGCTTACCAAGCTGCTCTGAGCTAAGACTGTATGCCTTCTCAGAGTGCTCTGAGGCTCTATGTTGTTACCGTATTCTATAGTTCTGAGCTGACAAGCTGCCAGGTAAGTTTTTCCTGGAGCTGGGGATTTGGGGTATGGGATAAGTTGTGAAAGATGATGAAAGAGTCAAGAGTGAATAAGGAACAAGAAAACATGGTTGGTATCTTGGAATAATGAGAAACACTGCAACGACAGAAAACGTTCTGAAATTGGTGCTGCAAGGGTTATATATTTCTTTAGAGACTGGAAGGTTGCATCATATTTGGGAATGCCAGATCCCAAGTCAGGTAGCTGAAATGTGTTTCCCTAGAGACTTGTAATTCCTGCACACACAAATACATAAAGGCACACACATGTACACACACTTCTCATGTTCTACTGCTGGGACTCATAAGCTGGGACTGAATTACTGCACTGCTGAGCTGAGGAGAAGAGCATGCAGGTACAACTCATTCATTCCCTTTAAGCTTAAACCAGGGGCTTCAGGGAGGATCATGCAGGTGACTGCTCTAGATCAGAGTCCTTCCAGAAAAATTCCTTTTGCTCCAAAAGTTTATTGCTTCATTCAGTCACAGGATGACCCAAAGTTTGCACTCCCCATATTGATTTTACAGGGAAACATTCTGCTTTCAATTCCATGTGATCAGAAATTGAAATCCAGTAATTGATTACATTAGTTTCCCTCCATTTAATAACTGTCTGCCTACCTCAGGGTTCCTGTTGTCATGATCTCTTTGAGTGTCTCCTCCTACTTTAGCTGGTGTTGGAAGAAACGGAGTTAATCTGCAGTGTCTCAGTCCTAAAGAAGCAGCAGCTTCTTTCAGTTCTAGCAAGCAGCCCATCACTTACCTGTAAGCTGGAAATGGGCCTGGCCATCACCTGGTTTTGACAGACAATAAGCAGCAGCAGGAGTCCAGGGCAAAACAGAAGTTTCAGGTTCATCTTCATGTTTTGGTGCTTCTGATTCCTCCTCTCCTTGAGTCTCTCCCGTTCAGTGCTGCTCTTTGCCTCCAGCTACCAGCCTTTATATCTTCCTCCAACCCCTCCCAAGTCTACCTTTTGAGTTCCTGCCAGTGCAAGGATTGGTTTGAGGTTCCGATCTGTTTCCATCCTCCCAGGAGGAGGAGGGAGGAAATAGTTCTCTTTTCTGATAGCAAATAAAAGGAGCATTTTACACTTATGCAATGCAGCATCATTCTGCTGCTGTGAAACTGAAGGTCGCTTGCAGCCTGCTGTCTTGGTGCCACTTATGTATGTCAGTTTACTTAGCTTAGTGTTCCTTGGGTTGACTGCTAAACTTCTCCTTTCCATCCAGAGAAAAATAATTGTGAGAGAAGTGTAAAGTGAGGAAGGAAGCAAATTGTATCCACTGCATATTCACCTGACTCCTTTGTCACTGTGAAGTACCAAATCAGATGGACAAGGGTCATAAAACACGCTATGTCAGAACTAAGTGTTATATACATGTAACACAATATGGCATTAGTAACGTATGAGATGAAAGAGTGTGATTTGGAGAAGGAGGGAAATCAGAGTCTTAAAAACATGACAAGTAACTTGTATTAGTTACTGGCCTGAGTGGCAGAGAGTGTGCCTGAAACCAGGATGACATGCACAGAAAACTTCTGCATGGCTGAAGCTGAGGAAGAAATTCCTTTCTTTTCCTCTGGATCCAGCTTAAAACATTTCCTCTGTGTGTTCTTTTTCAGCTTATCATACACAATTTGTATTAAACCTGAAAGGAAGCATAGCTCCAACAACTTTCTTACCAGAGGTACAGTTACAGGGACATTAACAAGTGCAGGATCAGAATGTGGTTTTGATGGGGTTCTCTGGTTGTAGGTGGGGTGGTGGTGGTGTTTTTGGGGATAGGGGGGAGCAGTTTAAATGAATTCAAGCACCATCTTCCAACAAAATGAATTCAGTGCAATGCGGGGGGGGGCAGAAGGAACTGAACTGGTTCTTAGCCAGGGTCTTAAAGGTAGTTAAAGCAGTGCTATTGGTCAGACCTCTCTGTCAAAGCACCTGGGAGATGTGTGAATACCCTGATAAAGATGTACATAGATAACTGATTCTGCAACCTCCCCATCTGTTCCAGTGAGTGTTTTACTAGTTTCCATACCAAGAAACGACCTTTTTTTCCCTGTGTTGGAGGCAGAGAGGAAGAGCAGCAATAGAAACTATTCAGTTGCGTGTTTTGTAGGGGCTTGAAATTGGGCCCCAGTGAAAAATAGCCATGTTCTTGACTATGCAATAATCCTGATCTTCCACCCCGTTTTTGAATACTTGTGGTGCAGAAAGATAAAGGCCATTAGCTGGATCTGTATGGAGGAATGGAAATGAAGGGCCATCTGGCACTTTTCATCTCATCATGGAGGTTAAGAATCTTGTTGCTACCAAAAGATTGGAAAAACATAATTTTATGCTGTGCCAATGGGTTGAATGTTTTCAGTGGTTTTTCATCTGCAGATTGGTTCAAGACCTAATTGTTATGTCTTTAGAAATGGGTAATCTAAGGTGACAGCTTATAAGCATCTGTCTATGACAGAAAGGGAGGTCTGGTGTTATTACAGTGTTGTTGTTTTGTTGTACTTGTTCCTGTTGATTAAAACCAGATTTGGTCTGAATCTTATTAGGAAATGAAATCATAATTTGAGGAGTTTGAGGTGTGCAGTTTGTGGTGTAACAAGGCAGTAAGAGAAGGTCAGAGCAGCTTCAGGCTTCTCTTCAAGACTGGGGTTGGTTGGTCTGATTGGCTTGTCGCAAGTCTGTTTTATGTGGGTAATAAATCTTGACCTCAGAATCTCTGAACTTGGTTTGGGGGACTTCAGAATTGTCTCCCTGTTAACTGCTGGAAATACATGCACTAGCACAGTCCCCGTCTATGACTATGTTGGTAAAGTCAGAATAAATAAGATGGGAAAGGACTTCTGGAGGTCTGTGTCAGGATCTTGTGCTAAAAGCAGAGCCAGCTTAGATCAGATTGCTCAGTGCCTTGTCAAATGGAGTTTTGAAACTCTTCAAGAAACAATGCTAATATTTAGTTGGAATTTTCCCTGTTGCAACTTGTGTCATTGACTCTCATTCTAATGCGTTGCTGGATGCTGTCCATAGGCAGAGCAAAAGGATGTTTGATCTCCTGAACGGTGACACTCAGAGTGTTTCTGCCTAACCTAGACAACGAGGAGAGCTTCAGTGCATCTAGTCAACAGCTGGGTTCAAATCAGATTTAGTGCAGTGGAAAGTAGTTAGAAACAGAAGGTCATCCAACAAAAGTCTCTGCTTTACATTGTGGATCTTAGGGCTCAGAGTACCATCAAAACTCTGAATATTCACAGCAATTGAAAACATTGCCATTAGGTGATGCAGTTAAGATACAGACTGTGAGAATGGAGGAACCCCTGAGGACAGCAGAGAATACTTGGGAGACAGGAAAAAGCTTCGTGCCCGTTTCTGAAGTGATTTGAGTGTTCCCTGGTATGACAAATCCTCCATATAGGATGGAAGTAAGTATCAGGAAGAAGGCAGGCTGGCCTGTGGTGCTCAGCTCCAAAACTGTTTCCTAGCTTACCATGACACATCCCCAGAGTCACAGTATGCCCTGCCCCTACTCTTTTAATAAGATCACTTCTGATGCAGATGTATCTGGCCTCATCTCTACAGGCTGCTGGGAAGAAGCTGTGCTCTGAAGTTGATAGTGAGTGGCATGCTTAGATAGGTACCATTAGAGCACTGCTGCAGTAACTCATTATCCTCCTCCTTCCTAGCTCAGTGACCCCTTTCAGCCCCTCTCTCCCTCCCCATTGCTCAGGCCAGCGTTTCCTGGCTCACTGCAGCTGGCTGAAAGGGCAGTGACGTGTTTGTAGAGCTTTTGTCAAAGTGGGGTCACCAAATCCTTGATGGAAGCTGGCACCATGGGCCCGTCTTTATGAGTCATTAACATTTAGCTGTGGTATCCAAGCAGTCGCCTGGTTGTCCCCCTCTTCTGCTCTCTCCCGAGTGGTCTAGTGACTGTGCTGAGGCAGGGTTCAGTGCACAGCATCATCCTAAACCCAGGCTTGGCTGTAATTACCCAGCTCCAACTGCTCTGTTTGCTCTGCTTCATTGCCTTCTCCTTAGGTGATGTGCTGACAGCAAGGCCCTGGTGCAGCAGTTTTCCCTACGGAAAAGGGAACTGGCACAGATGCTGCTGAGCTCATTTACGTGGTGTAAAGCTGGCACCTATACCCTGGATCTGCACCAACACAATCCAGAGGAGAATTTAGTCCTTACCTCAGGTGTGGCTGGGACTGTGTGCTGAGAGGAACTCTGATCTCCTAGTGCCTGTGATGGACCATCTGTGGGGAATAAACCAAACCCTGGATACCAGGGGCTCAGAAGGAGCTTCCCTTGTGGACTGGTCACCCACAGAAGCCCACTGCTCTCTTCCTCCCTGTCCAACAGCACCTTCTGGGGCACTATAAAGGCCAGTTGGAGGATAGATTCAGTGCTGCCACCACTCTTCTCTGGGGTCCTCAAACCCGCATTTTGCCTTGGTCTGATCTGTTCTGTTCTCACTAATGGTCACTGATCTCTTTGATAGGGGTGAAGAGGGGATGTTTTCCTCTGTAGCCCTCTGGGACAAGAAGGGGTGTCCTGCCCCCTGGGGACAAGGAGGGCAGCAGGCTGGCATTTGGTAGCAGGTCGTAGGTGGGTTTGGATTAGGGGTTTGATGGCAAAATTATAACATTAGTTTTGTCAGGCAGATTTATCACATCCTGCTGATGCTAATGAAGGCCAGCAGGGAAGCAGCAGTGAGGGAGGGGGTGAAATAACCTGAGACTGTGCTCAGTGCTGGTCAAATGGCTGTCTCTGTATGCTCTGTGGCTCACAACTGCTTGCTAGGAGAGGAGTTGAGCCCAATTCTGATCTTTGCTGCAGCAGGAGTGGAAACAAGCCACATGGAACTTCTGTATCTGGCCTGTAGCATCCATGATCAGTCTGACTTCCCTCATTATCCCCCAGTGGTGGCACTTGGATGACATTAGGGAGAGGTGTGCAACATTCAGTGATTCACTGGGGGGGGCTCCTGGCCCCTTTCAGTGATGTCTCCCAAAGGAGGTTTTTCTTCATGCTTGAGGGCATATTTAGGTTCAATGGTCCTGCTGTGTGGTTCAGTGCTCAAGATCTCTGACTTTACCCTGTGCTAGTCTTGCTGTAAGTTCTTTTGACACCTAGAGGCAAGCTGCTTTTCCCAAGGCACTTTAAGCAGAGCCCCACTGCAGATGGTGTCCTGAGCTCTCAAAGGAAAAAGTGGAAGGTAATTGGTCAGGTTATACCTGTAAATAATAGTCATAGAGTAATGTAAAGCAGATTAAATGTGACAACAGCTGGAGAGCCGGTATGAAAAACATAAATGGCTTTTACAGGCTGTAGTACTGGAGAAGAGTCTCAGATTAAACATGGCAGGGTGATGGGAAGAAAAGAAGGGGGTTCTATTAGAGACATGTGAGAAGCAGGCAGGGAATGAAGGCCAGGCAAACATTGTAGGATCAGCTGAACCAGAACTGAGGATTTCTGGAGACCCTGGTAAAATGGAGCCTGAAACAAACAGCGGAGGTGTCAGAGCAATGGCAGGAGACTTCTGCTCAGTGCCTGGTCAGAGGCAGAGGCTTAAAGAAGTGCTCATGTTCCCTGAATCCTCACCTGAATCTATGTTTTGGACTAAGCTTCATCTCTAGCAAGATGAACATCTTGCTGCACAGTTGTTTTGGAAGGGTGGGAATACCAAGTTCCTAGGTATGCCCACTGCAGCTGAAAACATGGATTAGCTGTGCATGGCTTTAAACCCCATGGGTCTGTTTAGTCCTGTGGCTTCCCCCTGGTCTTTAAGATGGTCCACATGGGCTGATCTTGTACTAAACTGTTCAGAATCTGAGTCTTTCATTCTCTGGGTTATGTTAGATACCTTCACTATTTGAACTGAGATCTAACTGGCCTACCTATTATTGCCTTGCTATAGAAAAAGACTGGACTTTTAGGTAGGAGCTTGGTCAGGCTTCAGTTCACAAAACTGCAGAGCAAACAGCCTGTTGGACAGCTGGAAGCAGAGAGG